CCTCAAAGACACACTTACTTTCTTGGGTTATCTTGGGTGGCTAACCCTCTGGAGTTAAAAATCCAAACAAAATCTTGTATAATGGTTACAGGAATTGAGCCCCAAAGTTTTGATAGCTAAACAAGTTAGTGGTACTGAACTATTTGCATGTTTATATCTGGTTTATATCTGAGTTATTTATACAGACCTGAAAATATTAGTGTAGCTTATATGTGGGTTTGAATTAAGAGTATTTGTTTATCCTTATATTTTAGAATATTATTGTTGAATTTTAACAAGTTTAAGTTGTCAGTTATTCACAATAGGCACAGTCAGGATATTTTTCAAGAATGATTGGTAATATGCCGAGGTGTCCCATAGCTAGATTGCTAGCGCACTCGCTTCTCACACTGAGGTCTGGGGGATTGATCCTCGGTAAGGGTGAAAATATTAGAACTTGTTTTCTTAAGACACCTGCTGTTTATGTTTACCCATCAGTAAAATACATTACCTGGGTGTTAGTCGACCCGTGTGGGTTGCATCCTGGGACAAAATTGATCAAATTTGCTCAAAATGCTCTGCATAACAAGGGGGCAGCAATATAGTAATGTCATCGATGTTAGCTAGGCCAGTATACTTTGTATATGAACTTGTAAAAATATTATTATTATTACATTGACATTTGTTGAACATTTTTATGTTGTCTCTAAATTCATTAATTTTATTGCATTCCAACACATAATGATGCAAGGTGTGACAGAGGTCCATCTGGTAAAGTTAACATTATGTCTACGTCAGCTGTTGATACTGATACAACCTCCCAAAGATACTTGTAGCCCAGCCAGAGCCAGGCAGTAGTAACATAATAGTCTGCTGATTTTTGTTGGATGCAACATATACTTCATGTGACTCCTCTGGCATCATAGAATAATGATAGATGAACTGACTGCTATCAATCTCTTGCAGTCTCAATTTAATGAAGTTCAGATGAAGTTCTTTTCATATTGTCCTCAACTGCTAACTGAGAGCCTAAGATTTAAGTCCGCTTCCTCCTTGAGGGTACCTGCCTTTGTCAGATCATCATTTCTATCACATATCTTAAGACCCATGCAAAATAAAATAAACAGGTGTGAGTGGTACTTGGACTCCACTATCTACAAGCCTACCATATCTGTGTCTGGCTTCTAACACAAGCATGCCACACTTATCATTCATGGAGTTAAAATTATTTATTTATGATAGAATATCAGTTACAATTAGTAAATAAGTTTATTTAGGTCCAGGTACACGTAAGTACAATTATCATACCTAGTAACATATGAGTAAATTACCTAGGGCAGCTCAAAAAAAGGTCAAGACACATTTGAGTGCAAAGCATATAACAAACAGTTCAGTTTGAAGGGTAGAAGCCAATTATCAATGCATGCTCCAATTTCTATGAGAGCTATCACTGCATGACAACAGCAACACTCCAGTTGTGCCAGCAGATTGGTGAATAGAGCCATCAACAACCAGAATTTGTGGAAGAGAGCACTGTGTGACTAAGGCATCAATACAACATAGGGCATCACGAGATAAGATTTATTTGGATTTTTAATCTGGAGAGTTAGCACCCAGGATAACCCAATAAAGTCAGTGCATCATTGTGGACTGTCTTTTATTTGCATTGTCCCCCAGGATGCAACCCACAACAGTCGACTAACACCCAGGTACCTACTTGCTTTTAAGTGAACAGGGACAGTAGGTGTAAGGAAACATACCAACATTTCCACACATGCTTAGGTTAAAGGTGAAGCTTTGGTTGTTATTTCAGCTTTTTTTTTCTTTGGGGGGGGGGAGTGAGGGATAGTGGTTTGGAATGAGATAATTTCCCATGGTGCAGGGAAATAACATATAGATCATTTGATTTATATTTATTTGATTTATATGGAGGTCAGTTCTAATTTTTATGATCCATCTGGAGGAGTGCTTACCAGTTTTGAAGACAGTTCGAATGGTTTCTATGCAAGGCTTAGTAGGGTTTGCCTGAGCATATTAAAACCAGTGATGCTAAGAATAACATGTTCTTTCCACATGTTTGGAAGGTTTGCCATTTGAGGAGATTCTGAGGTGATCCTCATTGCTTCATTCTGCAATTTTTCAAGACCTTGAAGCTTTCAGTCAAACAAGAGCAAGTAGGGGAGTGACAATATCAACCAGTGATCTGATGTAAGCAAAATACATATATTATTTTCACAATTTTAATAATAGCTCTATACCTGGGATGAAAACCTGCCACAGCTCTTGATTGCTCTTACACTTACTTTGTATTGTTGACACAATCTGGCTATGGTAAGTCCAAGTAGTGGGACTTTAAAGCCTAGATACCTGTATCTGGTTACATATTCTAGCCAAGACCCATCATGCAACTGGATCCTGTGGACTCCACCTCTGTTGGGAAGGATACCTGTTAAGTACAGTAGTAGTATCTTTGTTTTCTCAGTCGAGATGATCAATCACAGTTCCAGACACTGGTCTAGTACAAGATTAAGGATGTTTTGGGTGTTGGAGAATCAGGTTCAGATTTACTACGGAAAAGAATAACAGAGCGGCTAAAAGAAGCCAATATATATGAAATGCATAGGGAGTCACTGGTCAGAGAAATAGCAAGCATCGAACTTAAGCTAAAGGAATCTTATAGGAGTCAGGAATTGTGGGAAGAACTAAAAGCCATAAATGAAATTGAAAGAAACCCAAAGTATTTCTTTTCCTATGCCAAATCAAAGTCGAGAACAATGTCCAGTATTGGGCCCCTACTTAAACAAGTTGGGTCCTACACAGATGACAGCAAGGAAATGAGTGAGCTCCTCAAGTCCCAATATGATTCAGTTTTCAGCAAGCTGCTAACCAGACTGAGAGTCGAAGATCAAAATGAATTTTTTATGAGAGAGCCACAGAATTTGGTTAACACAAGCCTATCTGATGTTATCCTGACGCCAAATGACTTCGAACAGGTGGTAAATGACATGCCCATGCACTCTGCCCCAGGGCCAGACTCATGGAACTCCGTGTTCATCAAGAACTGCAAGAAGCCTTTATCACGAGCTTTTACCATCCTATGGTCGTCCCACAGTTACTGAAAACAACAGACATAGCCCCACTCCACAAAGGGGGCAGTAAAGCAATAGCAAAGAACTACAGACCGATAGCACTAACATCCCATATCATAAAAATCTTTGAAAGGGTCCTAAGAAGCAAGATCGCCACCCATCTAGAAACCCATCAATTACACAACCCAGGGCAACATGGGTTTAGAACAGGTCGCTCCTGTCTGTCTCAACTATTGGATCACTACGACAGGGTCCTAGATGCACTAGAAGACAAAAAGAATGCAGATGTAATATATACAGACTTTGCAAAAGCCTTCAACAAGTGTGATCATGGCGTAATAGCGCACAAGATGCGTGCTAGAGGAATAACAGGAAAAGCTGGTCGATGGATCTATAATTTCCTCACAAACAGAACACAAAGAGTAGTAGTCAACAGAGCAAAGTCCGAGGCAGCTACGGTGAAAAGCTCTGTTCCACAAGGCACAGTACTCGCTCCCATCTTGTTCCTCATCCTCATATCTGACATAGACAAGGATGTCAGCCACAGCACCGTGTCTTCCTTTGCAGATGACACCCGAATCTGCATGACAGTGTCTTCCATTGCAGACACTGCAAGGCTCCAGGCGGACATCAACCAAATCTTTCAGTGGGCTGCAGAAAACAATATGAAGTTCAACGATGAGAAATTTCAATTACTCAGATATGGTAAACACGAGGAAATTAAATCTTCATCAGAGTACAAAACAAATTCTGGCCACAAAATAGAGCGAAACACCAACGTCAAAGACCTGGGAGTGATCATGTCGGAGGATCTCGCCTTCAAGGACCATAACATTGTATCAATCGCAGCTGCTAGAAAAATGACAGGATGGATAATGAGAACGTTCAAAACTAGGGATGCCAAGCCCATGATGACACTCTTCAGGTCACTTGTTCTATCTAGGCTGGAATATTGCTGCACACTAACAGCACCTTTCAAGGCAGGTGAAATTGCTGACCTAGAAAATGTACAGAGAACCTTTACAGCACGCGTAACGGAGATAAAACACCTCAATTACTGGGAGCGCTTGAGGTTCCTGAACCTGTATTCCCTGGAACGCAGACGGGAGAGATACATGATTATATACACCTGGAAAATCCTAGAGGGACTAGTACCGAACTTGGACACGAAAATCGCTCACTACGAAAGCAAAAGACTTGGCAGACGATGCAACGTCCCCCCAATGAAAAGCAGGGGTGTCACTAGCATGTTAAGAGAGCATACAATAAGTGTCAGGGGCCCGAGACTGTTCAACTGCCTCCCAGCATACATAAGGGGGATTACCAATAGACCCCTGGCAGTCTTCAAGCTGGCACTGGACAAGCACCTAAAGTCGGTACCTGACCAGCCGGGGTGTGGCTGGTACGTTGGTTTGCGTGCAGCCAACAGTAACAGCCTGGTTGATCAGGCTCTGATCCACCAGGAGGTCTGGTCACAGGCTGGGCCGCAGGGGCGTTGACCCCTGGAACTCTCTCCAGGTAAACTCCAGGTAATTTCATAACTGAGAATGATTTTGTACATTTGTGACCTTACTTCTCTCACCCTCCCCTCTTTTCTGCTGATATTCTTTAAGTAAGACCCACTTCTACCCATATACTGTACGGTACCATGTTTTCACCTATGCTGAATGGCCTTTACGTGTTCTGTAATTTCAGTGAATATAATGATATAATCCTGGTGGCAGATTGAAAAAATCCTTCTTTTGTCATTGAAGAAAATCTTGATATACTGTAATGTATTTTCTACAACTTTCAAAATTTTACTGCTACAGCATTGAAGATATTCTCATGTTATTTAACTTAAAAATCTAATGAACATTAATGTCCATGATGAAAGTGTAATTTGTTGGTATTTCTGATTGTAATCTAATGTACACTTCTGTTTCTCTGCAGAAAAGTTAATGGTCTACTTGCGGGATGGCAGGACACTTATTGGTTATTTGCGCAGTGTTGACCAGTTTGCTAATTTAGTACTCCATCGCACAATAGAGCGTATCCACGTAGGAAACCGATATGGGGACATTGATCGTGGTGTTTTTGTCATCCGTGGAGAAAATGTGGTTTTACTGGGAGAAATTGTGAGTTTCCATTTTATACTGGCCTCAGTATAATTCAGATTTATATTTTTAATATGGTATACATATACAGTAATTGTTTCATTTTATAATGCATCATGATCTTTATAATTTAAGTTCACACTCATTGAAGAATTAATTTATGACTTCAATATAGAAGGGGCTACATTAGACACAAGTCTCAAGAATGGTGTTACCTAGATCTATACAGTATTGCTAAAATTTTTAATCAACATGTGGGAAATGTTGTGTATCATGAGATACCAGTAGTGAATTTTAAAATGTTCAACAGGGTATGAAGTAATATATTATTCTTTTGGTTCAGTACTCTATACTTTTAATCATGCTTCATTTCCAATTAATGAGGTTACAGTAGAAGAGGTGCACCATTTCATGTTGAATGAAACAAGGCAGTTAATATTCCTGCTTTAGCTGAAAGCTTCACATTTGTATCATAATGTACTTAACCCTTTGAGGGTCGACAGGCCCTCTCCGAAACTCGTTCTCAGGGTCGGCCAAATTTCAAAAAAAAAAAAAAATTATTTTTTCTTATGAAAAAATAGAGTATTTTTTTCTAAACATTATAGGCTAAACAAAAAAATTTTAACGTCAATACTTACCGAGATATGGAGGTGTGAAATTTGCCAAAATTGAACAACATATGGTAACATCGCCAACTGCCGTCACCCGGTATTTTTCTATTTACTTTTTTATGTACTATTTTCAATTATTTTTCAATTTTTCTTTTTCTGAGTAACTTTTATGGCCTCTGAGGCCAACATGATCAGTATTTTGTAAGTTATTTCTTTTTCAATACTACACAATAAGGGCGTAAACACTGTTGTCATTATTTTGTTTACAGAAAATATTTACACAAACAAACAATATGAAATGTTGTTTTATTACTATTTTTCTATATTTTATATACACATATACAGTCACAGGGAATGTTTCTAGAAGTTCTGCAGCCTGTGGAACTCTTTGAAACATGGTGTCATGCACAGTGGAGTTTTGCACTCCTCACACATAAAACGAGTGTCTCTGCGTTGTTGTGGGCGTTTTTTTTGTATGTGAACAGACGTACCACCTCTTCTGAGCCTTTTCTTCAAAGCAGTAGCAGACAGTTTTACCAGGGAAGTGATCACCATGCTTCAGACGAGC